AATCAATTTAGGGCAAAATTGAATTGGGGCAAAATTGAATTTGGGGGAAAAATTGTACAAAAAACGTATTTCGGAAATACGTTTTATGTTTTATATTATTTTTGTCCATCAAAATTGTATTTTCAAAATTCTAAAAATTCATTTCATTTAAAATACGTATTGTAAAAATACGTTTTATAACTCGAAAATAATTATAAAATTAATTTTAATTATAACACGTATTTCGAAAATACGTATTAATTTTTTATAAATAAAAACGTATTTACGGTATACGTTTTATATCAAGGTAATTATCTTAATTAATCATATTAACTAAAACCGTATTTCAGGAATACGGTTTATTTTTAAAACGTATTTTTAAAATACGTTTTATAACTAAAAACGTATTTTCAGAATACGTCCTTTTGATTTTTTTCTACTCCCTTTTTTTTTTTTTATTTTTGTCCAGTTATTTTTGTTTATTTTTAAATAAATAAATAATTCATATTTTTTCAAAGATGCTGCAGAGCTCTTAGTTATAGAGAGAGATAGAGAATAATGTCAAAGTTCTTAATTAATTGAATCATTCCACAAAGAAAAAATGCGATTGTCAGTAAATAAAAAACAATAAAAGGTAGGCAAGCAGAAACAAATTTGTCTACATATACTAACTCTAATCATCCAATAGCTCCCAAGTTGTTAGCTAGAAAAGACCTCAGCTGCCTAATTGACAATCAAGTAAGATTCCATCATTCTTCTCCCAAGAGCATGAGTATTCCCATTTAGATATGTCAGCAGCATGAAATTCTGAGTCCCGCATATGAAGTAAATGCAGTAGCATTTTTCTCATATCTATTCACGATCATAACTAACTGGGTTTTGTTTGAGTTTTCAAGATGTACAAGTGTGTGCCTATTGTTTTCTTTATTTTGTTTTTAGATAGAGGCATATGTAGAGCTCTTACATATGTTTCTTGTGTTGTCCAATGTGAAGGCTTGAGGACCTAAAAATGGCAAAAGCTCCACCTCTATTGTTGTCGATTTTGCTGTTCTGTTATTGGATAGCAATATCAAATGCCGGTTACGCACTATATCAAGATTCCAAACAGCCCATCTCCAAGAGAGTCGAGGATCTTTTGAGCAGGATGAGCTTGGCGGAAAAAGTCGGTCAAATGACACAAATTGAACGAGCAGTAGCATCAGCTGATGTTATGAAGAAGTATTACATAGGTAAATTAGAATGTAGACAATATATTTCCCTTTATATAAAATAAACTAATCGAGCTGATGTGATGATACGAAAACAAATTTATAGGAAGTGTGCTTAGTGGTGGAGGTAGTGTCCCGGGCCCACAAGCGTCGGCTGAGATGTGGATTGATATGGTGAATGGTTTTCAAAACGGTTCGTTGTCTACACCTCTCAAGATACCAATGTTGTATGGGATTGATGCTGTTCATGGCCACAACAATGTCTATAATGCTACCATTTTTCCCCATAATATCGGTCTCGGAGCTACTAGGCAAGCTGTTACTTACTTTTTACTGGTTGATTTCATTTTGCGTTGTTTAAGATGAGGCAAAATTGTATTTTTAGTCCTGCTGGTTTAACGTTGTAGCATTTTTAGTCTCAAGATTTCAACTTTTTGTCTTTTGATCCTGTAATTTAATATTTTGCTGCAATTTCAGTCCCTTATTTAATATTTTGCTGCAATCTCAGTCCCACTGAAATTGCAACAAAATACTAAATTACAACAAAATACTATTTTTTTAGCAATTTAAGTCCTGTGATTTTTAATTTGTTGCATTTTCAGTCCCAAAGGACTGAAATTGCGTTGCATTTTAAAATCATAGGACCAAATAGCAAAAATGTTCAATTCTTAGGACTAAAACGCCACTGGATCAAACCAACAAAGGTTAAAATTGCAATTTTGCCTTAAGATTATTACACTAGCTAGAATTTCCATTTTTTCTTTTTTTTTTTTATTTTTCTGCAGAGATCCTCAATTGGTGAAGAAAATAGGTGCTGCAACGGCTCTGGAAGTCAGAGCTACAGGCATTCCTTATGTTTTTGCCCCTTGCATTGCGGTACCAAATTCATTCAAAAATATATATGTAGCTAGCTATTGACATTGATTAATTAGATTATTTATTATTATTACTATTTTTTATTTTTTATTTTTTTTTTGTTTTGGTGGGTTGTATGGTGCACAGGTGTGTAGAGATCCAAGATGGGGCCGATGTTATGAAAGTTACAGTGAATATCCAGAGTTGGTTCAAAACATGACTGAAATTATACTTGGATTGCAAGGAGATATACCTGCAAATTATACCAAGGGAGTCCCATTCCTAGCTGGCCAGTGAGTTCATTTATACAATCACATATATTCATTTCCTGATCTTTTTCAGTTTTCAGTTTCCGTCCGACTTCTTGAGAAAATATTGTCAAATTATTCAGCCGAAGATCATATGAACGCAAACAATTCGAAAAAAAAAAAAGAAAAAATATGGATCCGATAATTAGTATTTATTTTAGAATAATTATGTTGAAAAACAAAAGGACGCTTTTCCGGGCAGATCCTGGAAAATTAAGATACATAATAAATTAATAACCAAGGTCAAGATGCATGCATGAATGTAAAACAGACTCCAAGTCAAAGTCAATGACTCCACTCGGTCATTGCAAATTTGCAATTGATTAATGACTCGTGACATGAACCGTAATTAATTAAATTAAGCGTGTCCAAATCACAAATATATTCTTGTTAAGAAACTTATAATTTAAAGAAAAAAAAATGTATTCACGTGTGCTTGTATTAATAGTAAGATATTATAGTAGGTATTAATTGGTATTCTCAAATAAAATGTCTTAAAAGTAAGTTAAAATAGCCACAGAATCCCCTAAAATATATTTTTTTTTAATTTTTATTTTCAGTAGTTAAAGTTATGCCATTCGAAATTATTATTTTATTCATTTGAAGAATTAAAATGCAAGTGTATAAGCATAATCATCTCATAAATATAAAAAAATATAAAAGTAATATATATTAATCACCAAGAAATAGATGTTATTTGACTAAAGAAATAAAATGCTTTAAATTATTATTTTTTAAATCATATACATTAAGTAATTATATATTGGCTTCAATCATTTATAAAGATCTAATATTTGTACACTAATTTTTCACTTTGATTTTACTAAAGGAAACTACTATTATTCGATATTCCAAAAAGAAATAATATGAAATTTTGAAATCGGAACAAATGTAAGAAAATATATATAAAAAAAAATAGTAAAATTAATTTGTTGGCGTGGACGTTATCCATAATAAAATAAAATAAAATAATATAACTAAATAATAAGTAAATTAATTTCTTTGAAATTAGTATCAAAATAGTAGAAATAATATTTAAAGTTATAATTGTTCTTCCAATGAATCGTAAGCTAAATACTTACAAAATCATTTATCCAAAATCTTAATGCATGTTCTTGTACAACATAAGAAAAATAAAAATGAACCATGTACTTCGGATAAAATTTATTATTTTTTATTTATCTGTTGGAAATTTATAAATTTGCATATATAGTCTTATTTTTGTCTATTACGTTCGAGAATTATATATAAAGGAATATGAAAAAAGTTTTTAACTTTCAAGCATTAATTGAATCTTAAGATTTGGTTGAAAAAAAAAAACTGTAATATACTTCGGTGATATGACCAAAATAATCAAAAGAGTGGTTACATAGAGGATGACCAAACAAAAGTTATAATACAATATTAATAAAAGTTATAATACAAGGTAATATAAACATTAATAAACAACATATAGAATGGCTAAGTATGTGATTCTTTCACTTAACCTCAACACATTCACGAAGTATACATATGAGATATTTTCCAATTAAACAACACTAGTACAACAGCCGTGATTACACGGGTGCTATTTAAAAAGTTTATACAGAAGTATACATATGAAATATTTTTCAATTAATCAACACTAGTACAACAGTCGTGATTACACGGGTGCTATTTAAAAAGTTTATACTGAAATTTTTAAAAAAGATATAAGAGAGAGGTTCTTTTTATTTAAATTTTAAATAATTTTTAAAAAGTTGCAGTACTATTTATATTTAAAATTAGATTTTTCAGTTGTACGATTTGCATATTTATATTTTAATAATTTTTCTAATTCATATGTAATGGATCTATATATAACTTTTTTAGTTGATGTATAGTTTTATTAATTTTCAATTAGTATTAACAGATGATTTAATTTTATAATAAATAATTAAAATTATTTATTTATTTATTTTATATAAAAAATATGAATATAACCGAATATCTCAAAAAATGATTAATTTGATATATTATATATGAAAAATATATAACAAATATAAAAATCTATTAACTTTTAAATATATTTATAATTTAAGTTAGTTAAGTTTTTTATAATGTAAAAGTCCCAATATGTATGAATAGAAGATCTACATGGACCAGTCCAAAATTGACACGATTGCAAAATACTAGACACATAGGATTACGAAGCATAAAAAATCAAACACGTAGGATTGGGAATTCGGGCATTGATATGTAGGGGGAGATATGTGAGTATAATTTTTCGATAACTTAGTCTCCCATCAATATCTTTCTATCAACTGTATAGGAAAGGCTGGAAAGTGATTGAATTATGGAGGATAACTTGTGAAGGTTTGAACCCAAAGCTAAAAATTATTTGTGACGTACGTTTTTCAGGAACAACGTATTAGCATCAGCCAAACACTATGTTGGCGATGGTGGGACCACAAATGGCATAAACGAGAACAACACGAATGTGAGCCCGCGCGAATTGGAGAGCATCCACATGCCACCTTACTTGGACTCCATCAGCAAAGGCGTGGGGACAGTGATGGTATCATACTCGAGCTTGAATGGCGTCAAAATGCATGCCAATCGTAAACTCATAACCGACTACCTCAAGAACAAGTTGAAATTCAAGGTAAGTAATTTAAGTCTCTATATATGATATTGGCTTTAATGAATGAGCAAAAGATTTTGAGTTCATTGTAATTTTATTTTTCAGGGATTTGTCATTTCAGATTGGGAGGGAATAGACAGAATCACTTCTCCCCCTCATTCCAACTATACGTATTCAATTCTCGCTGGTATCAATGCTGGCATTGACATGGTGAGCTGAATTTATTTTTTGATAAATCACAGAGAAGAATAGAAAAAACAAGTAAACGAGAATAACACTCGACTATTAGAGATAAAACCCCAACATTATTTGAAGACATTTTGTAATATTTTAGATCTCAAAAGAAGTGATCATGCCTTTTTTCTGAAATAATTGGATTTTTCTGCAATTATCTCAACCTGAAAGCTAAAACAAGCCAATATGTATGTATTTCTGTGCTGCAGGTCATGGTTCCAAACAACTACACAGAGTTCATCGATGGCCTAACCTCATTGGTGAAGAGAAACTTTATCAGCAAAACCCGAATAGATGATGCCGTGAGAAGGATTCTGCGGGTCAAGTTCACGATGGGTCTGTTCGAATACCCATTAGCCAACGATAGCATGATCAAGCACCTGGGAAGTCAGGTGGGTTGGTTAAATAGACAGAATAAACTTGAAGCATCTTTTTTACCATCAACAATTGTTAACATGCATTTGCTCATTCATCAAACAAAAAAAAAAAAATCCACAGGAACACAAGGAACTAGCAAGGGAAGCTGTAAGAAAATCACTTGTGCTGCTAAAGAATGGCGAATCTGCAGATAAAAGACCAATTTTGCCGCTTCCTAAAACAGCATCGAAGATTCTAGTGGCCGGGACCCACGCTGACAATATCGGTTACCAGTGTGGTGGCTGGACGATCAAATGGCAGGGACAGTCTGGGAATATTACATCCGGTAAAAAAATTTCGCATGAAGAATTTATATTTCATTGTAATAATCCCTAATAGCTTCACTTAACTCGGGTTTTCTCCTCATGGTCAGGGACCACAATCTTGACAGCAATCAAGAACGCAGTCGATAAAAACACGCAAGTCGTTTTCAGCGAGAACCCACCTCCCGAATTACTAAAATCACACAATTTCTCGTACGCCATTGTTGTTGTAGGGGAGCCACCATATGCCGAAACTTTTGGAGACAACCTAAATCTGACTCTTCCAAATCCAGCACCCGCCATTATCAAAAACGTTTGTGGCTCAGTCAAATGCGTAGTTGTTCTGATCACAGGCCGGCCAGTCGTGATAGAGCCGTATCTATCAGTAATCGATGGCCTTGTGGCGGCTTGGCTTCCGGGAACCGAAGGCCATGGTGTTGCAGATGTATTGTTTGGTGACTATGGTTTTGGTGGGAAACTTCCACGCACGTGGTTCAAGACTGTCGAACAACTCCCGATGAACTTTGGTGATGAGCATTATGAGCCCTTGTTCAGTTTTGGATATGGGCTCACAACTGATTCCATGAAGGGCAGCAACTAAATTTGAATTGTGTCATTCGGTTTCACCAAGCTGATTTATAGTTTTTTTTTTTTTTTTTTTTTTTTTTTANGAGGGAATGTTATTGATGAGAATTTCAGTGCATGCATGACATGAAAAAGATGAATAAATGTTCCAAGTTTCCATGATGATATCATTGGTTTTCTGTACCTTTTGCATCTCTATGGTTTCAAATTTATTGAATAAGTTCTCTTCTATTTGGACAAGGATTATCTTTCTTGTCACAGAGTCGCATGAATTTTTGGAAATAAGTGAGGAACATATACTTTCAGGAGTTCTCCAATAATGTCGATCACATCCACCGACAAAGCATGAGCATAACGAGGCAAGATGAAGAATTTTTTTATTATATTTTAATTAGGAACAGATACATTCACTGTGAACATATACAACAATACCAGGACAACAGACATAAGATTAATATCCACCTCCTATAAAACAACAAAGAAGAAAGAAAAATTAAGACTGCAAACCACCAAAGGAAGTTTGCAACTTCTGACACCAAAAGCACACATATGTAGAGTAGACCCTCAAGCCAATCAAGACATAACAATATTATCACAAAATCTCAAGATAGCAAGCTACCTTAACTGCAGCTAGAATCCTTGACCTCACCCTCTTTTACTTCTTCAGTCACCTTGGCATCGACAATATGGCTCTTGTTCTGAGCCTCTTCTATCAGCCTCATGATGTCGGCTTTCTTCTCGACAAGACTTTCAATCTTGCCATTGATTTTCTCCAGCTTTTGTTTCATCTTGTCGAGATCCTTAGCACCATACTTGTCTTTGAGTTCTCCTTTCTTCTCTTTCTTGTCCTTCTTTTTCTTCTTTTTCTCTATTCCATCATCATTTTCCTCACTCCTTTCTTCTTCCGACTCTTTATCAGTCTTTTCCTTGCTTTTCTTATCTTTATTGTCCTTGTGTTTCTTTTCTTTGTCTTTCTTCTTTTCCTTGTCCTTACCTTCACTCTTCTCGTCCCCGGATTCCTCCTTAGTCTCTCCATCTAAATCCCTTTTGCCTACTGTATCAACTTCTTCATCTTTCTTGTCCTTGTTTTTTTTCTTCTTATCTTTCTTCTTTTCTTTTTCTTTTTCATTCTCGTCTCCCTCATCTTTTTTCTTCTTGTCTTTCTTTTTCCCTTCCTTTTCTTCATCCATGTGTTGCTTTTCCCCTTCAGATTCAACTTTTTTATCCTTTTTATCTTTCTTTTCCTTCTTCTTCTTCTTCTTCTCCTCCCCCTCCTCATCCGTCTCATCTTTTTTCTTCTTCTCTTTTTTAAGCTTATTTTTCTCCTCATCCTCCCCACTCCCCTGCTCGGACTCTATATTTTTCCCCTTGTCTTTCTCTTTATTCTCCTTTTTATTCTTCTTGTCCTTTTCATCTTTCTCATCCTTGCCCTTTTTCAGTTCCTCATCAGATTTGTCTTCGGACTTCTCTTTTTTCTTCTTTTTGTCTTTCTTTTTATCTTCGCCTACATGCTCTTCAGCTTCACCGCTTTTCTCCTGCTCATGCGTTTTCGTGTCATTGCTTTCTTCATGTTTTGTCTCGTCTTTCACTATTGATTTTGTTTCCAGTTTAAGTTCCACCTTGGCCTTTTCTTCTGCTTCACTGAGTTTTTCAATTTCACTCTCAACTTTGAGATGCACCTTTTCCTTCTCTTCTATTATAACACAGCTGTTGGTTTTGTCTTCCATCATTGAATATCCGAGGAGACAGAAATTGATACCCTAATCGAAATTAGAAACTTCAAAATTAGAATTATGTATGGTTTTAGATAGAACAATTGTCGATGGACCTAGTCAAAGACCAAAATGAGCTTTCTTCAGGCAATAGGAAGGATTAAACACAGAACAAGTGACATGAGCATAAACATCAAATATATAAAAGATATCTTCTGTATAAAACATAAAAGCAAATACAGCACCTTGTTGCAGGAAAATGAAAAATATCTACAGGTTATACTTATGATACAGAATAATATATAACGAGACCGTAATTTTATGAAACAATAATATTGCCTCGTACAATCTCCACCAGAAACTGCAACATTACATACAATTCGAGTTAAAACAACAGTATACATTTTCAGATACATCAACCAATCAATACGGGTTAAACAAAAGTATACGTTGCCAGATAAATTGAACAATTAACATGAGCTAAAACAAAAGTACATGTTCTCAGATAAATCAACCAATCAATATGAGTTAAAACAGGTACATGTTTTCAGATGAAGCAACCAATCAAATATGAGTTATAGAACAAAAGTATACGTTTTCAAATGAATCAGCCAAACAATACTTTATTTCTTCATTCATTTTAGATTAAGAGAAAAGCATACTTTTGTACGAGCAAGAGTTGGATCAAATGCCAGATCCAGATTCCTCTTTGTTATCTTAACAGGTAGTCAATCGCGCAATTAATCGGACCAAAGCCCTCCCAAACAAATTAATCCCTATTTTTTTTTTTTTTTTCTTCTAATCCATCCTAAATCATATGAAGGTATCATATATCCGTAGATCCTCACAAGAAACCAAACAGACATCATCATTAAACCAGGCACCAGCCAATGACCACCCAACAAAACACCCACAAAAACCAAAGTTATTCATATTCTTCAACAAGAATCAAATCAATAACATCAAAACGTAATCATAAACGTGCATCACAAAAATCCTATTAACAAAGAGCACTAGAACGCATTACTTTATTGATTATTTCCCTTGAGGATTCGAGAAGGGAAAGTGGATAAGAAATCATAAAAAAAAATAAAAAATAAAAAATAAAAACACACAATTAGATGGTTACCTCTCAAAAAATGATGCAAAATCACTAGCACCAGGAGGATTGCGCCAAGAAATCCAGAAATTTCTGATATCCATGGAGTTTGTGGGAGCTATATATATAGAGAGAATTTGGGGGGTCCGTGTGAAAGACGCATGTACACGAGGCAACACCGTGTTGTTTGAGGTAATATGTGGGGGCCCGCATATGGCTACATTGTCGGTTCTGGAAAAGGACCATCTAAATTAAATTTATCAATAAAAAATTAAAAATTAAAAATCTAAGTTACAATTAGATCTGGCTATTTTCCGGTTCTAGGCCCATTACGGGCCAATTGGTTGGAGGTCCCTCAACATATGCACTAATGCACATGTCGGTCGGTTAAGTGAATCGCTAGTTTTGGACAGACCCAATTCAATTAAAAAGAATAAAAAATAATTGAAAAATCACAAAAGGATTGAACTATCTATTGAAAAATCTCGAGCTCAAAATTGAAGAGAAAGCTTTATTTTCATTTCGTCATACAGAACCGTACACATGCACATGGCATTTATAGAATACACGTAGCAACACGACGCCGTTCACTCATAACCCAAAGTGACGTCGTTCGAACTAAAACACACACAAACAAAAATAAGGAAAACGCTACACGCTTTATTCATTATTATTTAACAAGTGTTTATGTAATTAGTATGAAATGAGGCAATGTGTGTTGCTGTGTTTTCACACCCCCTCCTCAAGTTGGAGTGTGGTCAGTTGCATACACACCCAACTTGCACAGCAACCGACGAAACACAGCAGCAGGTAGTAGTTTAGTGAAGAAATCCGCGAGCTGACCCGAAGATGGCACATAAGTGGGATTAATGAAGCCGGCCTTAAACTTGTCACGTACAATATGGCAATCAATCTCGAGATGTTTAGTTCGCTCATGAAACACCGGGTTCGCCGCGATATGCATGGCCGCATTGTTGTCACACCAGAGATCAATGGGCAATGGAGGCTGCAACTGAAATTCCTTAGTCAAAGCATAAATCCATTGCAACTCACAAACGGTCGTACCCATGGACCTGTACTCAGCTTCAGCCGATGATCGAGCAACTGTAACCTGTTTCTTGCTTTTCCAAGAGATGAGACTATTACCAAGGAAGACACAATAACCAGTGATAGACCGCCGTGTGTCCTTGCAAGTAGCCCAGTCCGCATCACAATAAGCATTGATAATAGACTGTGACTTAGAGCTGAAGAATAGACCAAGGGTAATAGTTCCTTTCAGATACTTCAGTATTGAGATGGCTGCCTCCCAATGCTCAGTAAAAGGATTATTGACAAATTGGCTTAACTGTTGGACTGCATAACTCACATCCGGCCTAGTCATATTGAGGTAGAGTAGCCTACCAATGAGCCTTCTATACTGTTCTGGGTCTGACATAAGTTGTCCATCAAAACCAGATAACCTCAGACCTTGTGGCAATGGAGTAGCAGCCTCTTTGCAATCTTGCAACCCCATATCTTTCAGCAAATCGAGTATATACTTCCTCTGACAAAGGTGAATGCCACTGTCTGCCCTTGAGATTTCAACTCCAAGGAAAAATTTTGCAATGCCAAGATCTTTAATGGTGAAAAGATCATGTAGGTACTTCTTTAAGGCTGTGATCTGCTGAAAGTTTGAACCCATAATCAAAACATCATCCACATAGACTAGCATGGCAAGAAAATGTCCACCAACATGCTGTGTAAACAGACAATGGTCTTGTGATGACTGTAACAAACCAAACTCCAGCAGCCTCTTTGACAACTCACAGTTCCATTCTCTGGAAGCCTGTTTCAAGCCATATAGGCTCTTAACAAGTTTACAGACTTGACCATCCTTACCTCCATTATACCCTTGTGGCAATTTCATATAGACTTCCTCAGATAATGTGCCATGTAAAAAGGCATTATTTACATCAAGCTGCCAAATAGTCCACCCATGAATGGCTGCTAAGGCCATGAACACTCTTACTGTAACTAACTTGGCAACTGGGGAAAAGACATCAAAGTAATCCACACCTGCCACTTGTGTAAATCCCTTTGCCACCAATCTTGTCTTGTATCTCTCCACTGTCCCGTCTGCCTTTCTTTTGATTTTATAAACCCACTTGGAGCCTATGGCCTTCTTCCCTGGTGGTAAGTATGTCAATTCCCATGTGTGATTATCTTCTAAAGCCTTGAGTTCAAGATTCATAGCTTGCACCCATTTGGTGTTTTGTTTGGCCTGCTCAAAATGAGTAGGTTCCTGCTCTTTGATTATGTTAGCAAGAAAGGCTCCTTCATTTTCTTCATCATGTGGATCATCTACTCCAGTGTTGTCACATATGTAATCTTGCATCCATGCAGGTTTTCTCCTTATTCTCTTATTCCTCTCCAGCTGTGTAGGTTGTGTTTGATTGTGCACCTCATGTGTTGACTCCTCATCACTATCAGTATCATGTGTATCTATTACCACTGGAAAGAGAGTGCTGTCACAGCTTTCACCTTGTGGTTCCTTATAGGGGAAAACTTCAGTGACAAATACCACATCTCTAGAAATGAACGTCCTGCCATCTTCAATATCCAATAGAATATATCCCTTGTATCCTCTGGCATAACCAAGTAAGGCACATTTGTAGGATCTTGTCCCTAATTTTCCCCTGTTGGGATCAATATTGACTGCATGTGCCAAACATCCAAATGGTTTCAGTCTGCTGTAATCTGGTGGCTCATTATAAACCCTCTCAAAGGGTGTTTCCCAATTCAGAGCCACACTAGGCAATCTGTTTATAATATGAACTGCAGTCAGAATTGCATATGGCCAATATCTCATGTCCATGTTTGACTGAAACATCAAACCCCTTGCAACCTCAAGTATTTGCTTGTGCCTTCTTTCCACAACACCATTTTGTTGTGGTGTGTACACACAGCTTCTTTGATGTATAACACCAAGTTCTTCAAAGGTTCTTTGACACTCATTGCTTAGGAACTCCTGACCATTATCACTTCTTATTTGCTTAACAGTTTTCCCAAACTGTGTTTTTATCATAACTATGAGTTTCTTAAGTAAAACTGATGTCTCTCCCTTTGATCCCATGAGAAAAACCCAAATGCTTCTGCTATAATCATCCACCACTGTCAGGAAATAAGGTGTATTAAGGACTGAGTTCTCTCTGCAGGGTCCCCAAATATCCACATGCAGTAAGTCAAAGCATTCTTTGGTCTTTATGCTGCTATTTGGAAATGGCAGCCTATGCTGTTTGGCCTTAAAACAAACTTCACATTTTCTTAAGTTCACTTCTTCCTGTGCATTACACTGACCCTTGAGAAATGGTAGCTGTCTCATTGTCCCATAAGATGCATGACCAAGTATCTTATGCCAGTCCATGAGTGATGTTTTACAGCTCAAACTCATGCTTTTGTCCAAATGATAATCATCCAAAATATACAGTTTCTCCTTCAAAATCCCAGTTGCTATGACCTCTCCAGATGTTTCTTTCTGTAAACAGCAACCCTTTGAAGTGAAGCTGCACTTTAGATGAGATGTGATGCATACTTGAGTAACTGATAGTAGGTTATATTTGAAGGATGGTACCAGGAGAACCCCATACAAGGTAAGATCATGGGAAATGGGCACTTCTCCAACCTGTGTTACCGTTTTGATTGTCCCATCTGGCATGTATACTGCAATTGGTGATTGCAAATTTACCACATTTCTCATCAAACTCTGATCTATGCACATGTGTCTACTTGCTCCAGTATCTATCACCCAGGCTTTTCCACTTAACTCATCATACATTGACAAGGCATAATGTCTTTCCTTTTCATCCATGTTTACTGCAAAATTCACATACTGCTCTTCTTCTTTGTATAGTTGTCCTTTGTCAGAGTTGTGAGGATATCT